AATATCCTCTTTATGTGCGTCTTCTCCTCCGTCGTGTAAAGGTAGGCAACGCATCTGCAATTGTGAATGTCTATAGGCATCGGTCGCTTTGCCATTTTGGCGGATTCAGGAGGCCGCTTGCTCGTTTGCTACCTTATGTTATAAAAAAAAATGTGGCTACAAAATTGGCGTACGTAAAATGCCTGACTTATGATCAATTTCCGCATTTACGGAATATTTAGCTATTCGCTGTTTCCGACCGCATTTTCTATCTAAATTAGTGTCTTTACTTATACCTTGATTGCTAATTTTCATAATGTAAGCCGCGCGAATATGAGATTTTGCAATTCATGCAAATTGGGATCAAAAAAATTCATGCAATTCATGCAATGCATGCAAATTGGGCAAGAATTAACAACGCGTTGTAAGAATCTAAACGATGTGGAACCTTTAACCAATTATGTGATCAATAAAAACAATTCTTTTAATGGAGTACTCATAAAATAACAAAGAAATAAAATGAATATTAAAATTCCGATGTCAGAATAACCTGTTAAGATAACCTGGTATAATTTCATAAGAGTAACACTTATGAATCGTTTCGATCCTAATAAAAGATGGCCATCTGTTAAACGTCAGCGGCCATTTTGATTCTTGACCGAACTCAGTCTACCCTTTTGTATGATACGCAAATAGAATCGCCCACAATTGGCACACGACTGTATTTAGATAGTGAAAATGATATTTAATTACATAAATAACCTTTTTCGCTTTCGTTTCGTGTAAACTTTAAATGTTAGTTCTACAATTAGTGCATGTTTTCGTGTTCTTCGCATTTTATGAATTAACTCGCAAACTACCACGTATTTACTAGTGTAAATGTTTATATTCCACAGTAGATTTCAACTGTTTCTAGTCTTTTTGCTGTGTTATTTCAAATTAAACAGTAGAATATCTTTTGTTGCAGCGATGCCGATACGTGCGTGACACACCGGGTTGACTTGTCTCAATCCGCGCGATGTCGCAGCAGCCGCACGGGAGGGGGCGCGCGCGGGCGCCCTCCCCCTCCTCGCTGCACTACCGTCCGCCCTCGCCCTGGGCGCCCAGCCCGCCACCCCTCATCTCTGGCCCGCGCCACTCTACCGCGCTTGTCTCCCCTCCCCCAGTGCAGCCCTCTCCAAAACCTTTCCGTCCCCTCCACTCCCCCCATTTCCGACCTCACTCGCCCTCCCCCAGTTCCCACTTCTCGATCTCCCCATACCCGATGTCCCCGACCTTGGGCCAAAGTCCCGAGTACTACTACTCGTCGCCGTACGAACCGATTCGGGAATACGACTACGCGGGTCCGGAGCCCCCGCCGCCGCCGCGCCCCATGATCTTTGAAGAGGAGGAAGAAGACCGCGGCCCTTCCACCGCGGAGATCATCGCCAACCAGTCTCAGGAGGGCTACGTTGACGAGAAACTTGCCGAGTACCAGGCTACCATACAACTCCTACAAGGTAAGCTTTGATAATCGCTTTCATCGATCTAAATTAGCTACTGTTTAGTTCTCTCTATAGTCTTTAGCAATAGTTTGAAGGTCATAGTGATAATCGTACGCACTACACTGCAGGCAGTAGTCCTATGCACACGATCCCGGTGTCACCTTTGTGACTCAAAGTTTCAGCGAACCAAAGTATTTTGGGAATGTTGTAAACAACGGCGATGCATTCAGATTATTCGGACTATTTATAATTTCAATGTTATTTTCAAACATGCAAATCCCATAATTGTTATAGTACATTTATTTTGGTGTTTGGAGGGAATTGTTAGATATTCTAAAAGGTTGGTGGCCGGCAATGATCACAAAAGTAACCCAACCCTAACTTAAACTATGACACAACTCATTGATAGATCGAAAACATCGAACGACATTAGATTAGAGAACTAATCTTGAAGGCTTATTGTCGAAATCTGGCTATAAAACTTTTAGTATGGTTAACTTTATCTTCAAAGCTTGTTGAAGTCAATCCATTGAGTACGTCTACAAACGTTTTCAGTCGAATTGATTACAATTTGAGGAAAGCTCGGGACAGCCTTGGGCTAAATCTGTCTGTCGGAAATAAAAACGGTTCGCGACCGCTTTGCTTCGCGACCGATACACTGGCCTGAATCGGTTAGTTTATTATGAAACACGTTTTACTTAGGATCAGCAATTCTTATGAATTATAGAACTTACAACACGTCAGACAAAGTAATAAAAAAAAAATAAAGAGAAATTAGATATATATTTAGTGTTAATCTGATATTACAGTTAACACTTGACAGTCTGAAGAAAGTAACAAAATTGAATTTAAAGGTAGAGGAAGGGCGATGAAACTATGAACGGATTGTTTGCAAGACGAGATGCGTAAATAAGTGAGTTCAGATATGACGCCCGATAAAAAGGTACAGAAGAGTATACTGTGCCTGCCCGTAAGGCTGGGAGAAGGTTGGTGGTATTGATGATGAAGATTTAGCACAGTATAGTTATAGTTTAAGATGACACGGTCCGGTCAGCGTTGGTGTTGAGCCAAAAACGTTAATTCCCCGGGCGTGGCTTCACACGACAGACATGTGATCGGTCAGCTCAAGATGTCAATCATTCGCTTCGAATACACATTTTTTATCAAAGCTACGAAACTAGAAAGGTTAATATCTATTTAGATAATAGAAGAACGATGCCAAATGCGATTTTCTAATAGTAATAAGACTTCTAGACTTGACTTCAATGCTCTCTGAAACGAAAGCACACCGTAATAGGGGTCTTCTATTTGATTCAGGTCTGTTACACCTTTTTCGACCCTTCTATGCTTCGATCAACATTTTCTCTAAATATGTAGGGATGCTAGTTGTTGAATGTGATTGCAAAATATCTACACTATTATACTAAAGCGTAAACACACACTTCTTTGTTGCCTAAGATTTCAGCAATTACAGCATATTTTTGAATAATTATATTTTTAATAAAATGTCCTACAGTTACGTCACACTTTAGGCTATATATTTTCACGCCTTTAAACTTAGGGTGGTAAATATTTTGGATAAAAACCCTAATGTGAGAAAGAGACCATAAGTTGCTGCCAACATCAAGGAAGCAAGGTTGTCATCATGTCACGTCAAATTGACATTTGCTATTGATAATTTGACAAATGTAAACAATAAAATAAAATTTTCATAGTTTCATGCGGATGAAGCCGCACGGGAATAGCTAGTATGTTATAGTTAGACAATATATTATAGAAGTTATTGGCATATTAGAACAGTAAGTGCGGGGTAACACCGGATGTGATATTTTCTCTTTCAAATTCTAACACTTTGTAAAAATATTGAGGCCGCACGTCACTTCTTAGAATTGAGGATGGTATTTATTCTGTTATAAAATTGAGGTTGATATTTGATTATAAGATTAAATACTTCGCTTGTAAATAATACCACTATTTGACGCTTGGACGATGAAGTAAAAAGAATGTATGTAGATTAATTATTTTGAAAACAATAAAAATTATGAAGAAAGCATAATATAGGTATCATTGTTACTTTCTTGCTTCTGAATCATCCGGATTCAGAAGCAAGATATCATCAAATCATACGTTGCGAAAGCATAATATTTTCGCCTATGGTTTCCGCTTATTCCGGTCCGGTGTAACGATGCAGATACGAGAATAGAACGATATCGTTTGGCAACAGGAAGCCCGGTGCACGCCGCGCCCGAATCTGGCACAAGGTGGATGATCTCAGTGGTTCAGTGTTACGACTGACGTACGCATACGTGCATGTAAATATACGTTTATATTATTTTAAACTCGCACCTTGACAACTGTGGCAGGTCTGATTGTTTAGAACCAGCTGCCTAAAGTTACACTCAAAGTGTATCGTTTCATCACAGACGCATCGGTTTCATAAGTACAATAGTAGGAGAGTTTCTGTCCTTCCCTTAGGGTTCCAAGATGTTATAGTAATGTTGAGAATTAAACGATTTATTCCATGTTACTTCTCTTTTTATTTATCTCCCTGACTTGACAACAACACGTTTCCATGGTAACCGCTTACAGTTTTTATATTCAAAGAGTATCAAAATTATATAACATGTCACAAATTAAAAAGCTAATCATCAAAGAATATTTACAGTATATTTACACGTAACAGTAATAACGATGTTCCTACCATTAAGTATACTAAAATTAGGCAGGTATCTTTAATAATTTGAAGTCCCTTTGCATCTACTGAGCAATCCAATATGTTCAGTAATTATTTCATAGTTTTATTTCTATATGACAGATTGGTACACTGACCCCGTAGACAGGCAGCCCTCAAAACATTACCGTTGACTTCATTAAGGTTACGACCTTATTGTACGTTGGCAGCAACTCAACTGAACGTGGCGCCCCTCACACCGTCCGCTAATACAAGAGCCAATCGCTGTTTGGTTTATACCCATACACACAATAAGGTCTAGCCCTAGAACTTGGAGGATTCAAAAAAGAAACTCCTTTTTTCATGCCTTTTAGTTCTTCATCTGCTAGCTTGATGCGAGTTTCTAGGTAGCATTCTTTCGTTCCGAACTAGTCTTTGCCCACAATTCCGTTACATTAAAAAATAAAACTATGTGTTCTTCCAGACAAATTTAATCAAGATTCGTTCTAAAAGCTTGGTCACAAACGAACAAACATCCATCCAACTTTTCGCATTTATAATATTAGTAAGATTAAGGGCCTATCCCACCACTGGCCGATAGAGGCTCAAATAGCATAAAAGTGACGTTACGTTACACCTTGGATTGTTATCAGAGAATTTACAAGAATTGTGGGACAGGCCCTAAAATCTCCACGTTCGATTTTTGTATGAAAATCCTTTTTAAGAGTGGGCGCACATCTTTGACTAAACCATTGCATTACTGTTGTGCGATTGTCGATTGTTTCGCAACTAATTCAACTATTTAGTTGCACAAATATAAATCGAGTAGTTTGCACACACCCAAATCAGCTCATCGAAATCAAAGCCCGACTAAACAGTTGTGCGATAGTTTAGTCAAAGGTGAACGCGAAATTTTAGGAGCGTCGGTGGCTCAGTGGAGGAGCGTCGGTGGCTCAGTGGAGGAGCGTCGGTGGCTCAGTGGAGGAGCGTCGGTGGCTCAGTGGTTTAAGCACTTGACTTGTAATCTACAGGTCTTGGGTTCGAATCCCGCCGCCATGTACCAATGTGATTTTCGATTTTTCGAATTTTCATATGTACATAATTTACCCGACGTTCTTACGGTGAAGGAAAACATCGTGATGCAACCTGCACATATCGGCGAAGAAATTCAAAGATATGTGTGAAGTCAACCAACCCGCACTTGGCCAGCGTGGTTGACTATGGCCTAGTCACCCTAACATTAGGGTAGGCTCCGAGCCCCTCGGTGGGGACATATAGTGAGCTGGTGATGATGATGATGATGAATTTATTTTGTCTACCTTTTCACACGTGTCCGTCCGTATCTGTCGCATTAATAACAGTCACCGAGTGCGATAACATTCGATCTTGGACCAAATATATCTGGTCCAGCTGATCTGGTCTGTTGACGTCACCCGCCCCCGTCGAGCGTCATAATCCTAATAAATGTATAGTGAACGCATTTTACGAAATGTTTCTGGTACATTCCACGTTTTAGTACACTTGCCATTTGGTTTCACTTAAGTAATATTTAAGGACTACGATTGTAATACGATTATTTAACTACTAGCTGTGGCCCGCGTGAAATTAAACAAAAATTATTAGTAGCCTGTGTTCTTTCAGACTATAAATCTGTAAAAATTTTATCAAGATCCATTTAGTCGTTCTGGAGGTATGCAGTAACAACCATCCATCCATCTATACTTACGCATTTAAAATGTTACTTGACTTGCTTTGTTTATTTGCATTAAATCTGAATATTTACATTAGACCCTCTTTTTGTTATTCTGAAATTTAACACACATCATTAATGTAATGACAGTTTTGATGTTTGAGTTTTATATTGATTTATAGAAGTTATCAAGCAGTTTGCAGCTTACACCGTTGTAAATCTATACTATTATAATAAAGCGTAAACACACACTTCTTCGTTGCCTAAGACGTCAGCAAATACAACATTTTTGAATAATTATTTTTTTAATAAAAAGCCCTACACTTACGTCACACTTTAGGCGATACAATTTCACGCTATTAAACTTAGAGGGTAAATATTTTGGATAAAAACCCTAATGTGGGAAAGAGACCATAAGTTGCCAACATCAAGGAAGCAAGACTATCAAGGTTTGTCATGTCATGTCATTTTGACATTTGCTATTGATAATATGACAAATGTAAACAATAAAATAAATCACAATTTCCGCACAGGAACAGCTAATATTTGTATATTTATCTTCTTAATAGCTTGATTTGGCATAAATCATTCGTTAAACTAGACAGGACTCGAACCCGCTGGTCGCAAATAGTCGCGTATACCCACGCTTGCGTC